TAATTTCAAACTGCAAATATTTGCAGAGAGCCAGAATTTGACTCCAAAATAAGGCTCAGGAGTCAGATTTGGGATATTTGGGATATTTTGAAAACTGCACGGGGGTTTGCGCAAAATGTGACCCATTGCCGTTTTCAGTATTGGCATATTTCGATATAAAAAGTCGTAATTTCAAACTGTAAATATGTGCAGAGAGCCAGAAATTGGCTCCAAAATATCGCTTAGGAGTCAGATTTGGTATATTTGGGATATTTTGAAAACTGCAGTGGGGTTTGGGCAAAATGCGACCAATCGCTGTTTTTAGTAATAGGCATATTTTCGATATAAACAATCGTAATATCAAACGGCAAATATGTGCAGAGAGCCAGAATTTGGCTCTATAATATGGCTCAGGAGTCAGATTTGGGATATTTTAAAAACTGCAGGGGAGGGTTTGGGCAAAATGTGACACATCGCGGTTTCCAGTAATTGGCATAATTTCGATATAAAAAGTCGTAATTTCACACTGCAAATATGTGCAGAGAGCGAGAATTTGGCTCCAAAATATGGCTCAGGAGTCAGACTTGGGATATTTTGAAAACTGCAGGGGGGTGGGGGAACTCAGTGAAATACCATTAGTGAAAGGAAATTCACTAAAGTTCCCAGTATGTTCCCAGTTCCCAATATTGTTCTATGAAATCTATCAACCCCCCCAACTCAATGTGTGGGTTGGGAAGGGGGGGGGGGTGATATGGTGTAGTTATATGATATGGCTGAAAAATCTTGCTCAGGCGTCAGAATTGCGATATTTCCGATATTGTGAAAACTGCAGGGGGGTTTGGGTAAAATGTGATAAATCGCCTTAGTCAGTAATTGACATTTTTTCGGTATAAAAAGTTATAATTTCAAACTGCAAATATGTGCAGAGAGCCAGAATTTGGCTCCAAAATATAGCTCAGGAGTCAGATTTGGGATATAAGGAATATTTTGAAAACTGCAGGGGGGGATTGGACAAAATGTGACCATTCGCCGTTTTCAGTAATTGGCATATTTTCGGTATAAAAAGTCGTAATTTCAAACGGGAAATATGTCCAAAGAGCCAGAATTTGGCTGCAAAACATGGTTAAAAAGTCACATTTGGGATATTATGACAACTGCAGGGGGGGGGGGGAAATCAGTGAAATACCATTAGTGGATGGTATTTAACTAATGTTTCAAAGTATGTTCCCAATTCCCAATATTGTTCTGTGAAATCTATAAACCCCCCCAAACCCATAGTGTAGTTGGGGATATGGTGTAGTTATATGATATGGCTGAAAAAATCTTGCTTAGGCGTCAGATTTGCGATATTTCTGATATTGTGAAAACTGCAGGGGGGATTGGATCAAATGTGATATATCGCCGTAGTAACAAATTGGAATATTTTCGGTATAAAAAATCGTAATTTGAAAAATAAATATGTGCAGAGAGTCAGAATTCGGCTCAAAAATTACGCTCAGGAGTAAGATTTCCAACAATTCAAATATTTTGAAAACTGCAGGGAGGTTTGGGCAAAATATGACCCATCGCCGTTTTCAATAATTGGCATATTTTCGGTATAAAAAGTCGTAATTTGAAAATGAAAATAGGTGCAGAGGGTCAAAATTCGGCTCAAAAATCACGCTCAGAAGTCAAATAATCGACATTTCAGATATTTTGTAAACTGCAGGGGGGTTTGGGCAAAATATGACCCATCGCCGTTTTCAGTAATTGGCATAGTTTTGGTATAAAAAGTCGGAATTTCAAACTGCGAATAGGTGCAGAGAGCCAGAATTTGAGTCCAAAATATGGCTGAGGTATCGAATTTGGGATGTTTGGGATATTTTGAAAATTGCAGGGGGTTTTAGGCAAAATGTGACCCACTGCTGCTATCAGTATTTGGCATATTTTGGGTATAAAAAGTCGGAATTTCAAACTGCGAATAGGTGCAGAGAGCCAGAATTTGAGTCCAAAATATGGCTGAGGTATCGAATTTGGGATGTTTCAGATGTTTTAAAAACTGCAGGGGGTTTTGACAAAATGTGACCCACCGACGCGTTCAGTAATTGGCATATTTTTAGTATAAAAAGTCGTATTTTCAAACTGCGAATAGGTGCAGAGAGCCAAAATTTGGGTCTAAAATATGGCTCAGGTATCGAATTTGGGATGTTTCAGATGTTTTAAAAACTGCAAGGGGGTTTAGGCAAAATGTGACCCACCGACGCTTTCAGTAATTGGCATATTTTTAGTATAAAAAGTCGTAATTTCAAACTGCGAATAGGTGCAGAGAGCCAGAATTTGGGTCCAAAATATGGCTCAGGTATCGAATTTGGGATGTTTGGGATATTTCGAAAACTGCAGGGGGGGGTTTGGGCAAAATGTGACCCACTGCCGTTTTCAGTAATTGGCATATTTTTGGTGTAAAAAGTAGGAATTTCAATCTGCAAAAAGGTGCAGAGAGTCAGAATTTGAGTCCAAAATATGGTTCAGGTATCGAATTTGGGATGTTTGGGATGTTTTGAAAACTGCAGGGGGGTTTGGGCAAAATGTGACCCACCGCCTGTTTCAGTAATTGGCATATTTTTGGTATTAAAATTTGGAATTTCAAACTGCGAATAGGTGCAGAGAGCCAGATTTTGGGTCCAAAATATGGCTCAGGTATCGAATTTTTGATGTTTGGGATATTTTGAAATCTGCAGGGCGGTTTGGGCAAAATGTGACCCACCGCCGCTTTCAGTAATTGGCATATTTTTGGTATCAAAAGTCGGAATTTCAAACTGCGAATAGGTGCAGAGAGACAGAATTTGAGTCCAAAATATGGCTCAGGTATCGAATTTGGGATGTTTGGGATATTTTGAAAACTGCAGGGGGGTTTGGGCAAAATGTGACCCACCGCCGCTTTCAGTAATTGGCATATTTTTAGTATAAAAATTCGGAATTTCAAACTGCGAATAGGTGCAGAGAGCCAAAATTTGGGTCTAAAATATGGCTCAGGTATCGAATTTGGGATGTTTCAGATGTTTTGAAAACTGCAAGGGGGTTTGGGCAAAATGTGACCCACTGCTGCTTACAGTAATTGGCATATTTTTTGTATAAAAAGTAGGAATTTCAAACTGCGAATAGGTGCAGAGAGCCAAAATTTGGGTACAAAATATGGCTCAGGTATCGAATTTGGGATGTTTGGGATATTTTGAAATCTGCAGGGGGGTTTGGGCAAAATGTGACCCACCGCCGCTTTCAGTAATTAGCTTATTTTTGGTATAAAAAGTCGGAATTTCAAACTGCGAATTGGTGCAGAGAGCCAGAATTTGGGTCCAAAATATGGCTCAGGTATCGAATTTGGGATGTTTAGGATATTTAGAAAACTGCAGGGGGGTTTGGGCAAAATGTGACCCACCGCCGCTGTCAGTAATTGGCATATTTTTGGAATAAAAACTCGGAATTTCAAACTGCGAATAGGTGCAGAGAGCCAGAATTTGGGTCCAAAATATGGCTCAGGTATCAAATTTGGGATGTTTGGGATATTTCGAAAACTGCAGGGGGAGTTTGGGCAAAATGTGACCCACTGCCGTTTTCAGTAATTGGCATATTTTTGGTGTAAAAAGTAGGAATTTCAATCTGCGAAAAGGTGCAGAGAGTCAGGATTTGAGTCAAAAATATGGTTCAGGTATCGAATTTGGGATGTTTGCGATGTTTTGAAAACTGCAGGGGGGTTTGGGCAAAATGTGACCCACCGCCGCTTTCAGTAATTGGCATATTTTTGGTATAAAAAAGTCGGAATTTCAAACTGCGAATAGGTGCAGAGAGCCAGAATTTGGGTCCAAAATATGGCTCAGGTATGGAATCTGGGAAGTTTGTGATATTTTGAAAACTGCAGGGGGGTTTGGGCAAAATGTGACCCACCGCCGGTTTCAGTAATTGGCATATTTTTGGTATCAAAAGTCGGAATTTCAAACTGCGAATAGGTGCAGAGAGCCAGAATTTGAGTCCAAAATATGGCTCAGGTATGGAATTTGGGATGTTTCAGATGTTTTGAAAACTGCAAGGGGGTTTGGGCAAAATGTGACCCACTGCTGCTTACAGTAATTGGCATATTTTTTGTATAAAAAGTAGGAATTTCAAACTGCGAATAGGTGCAGAGAGCCAAAATTTGGGTCTAAAATATGGCTCAGGTATCGAATTTGGGATGTTTCAGATGTTTTGAAAACTGCAAGGGGGTTTGGGCAAAATGTGACCCACTGCTGCTTACAGTAATTGGCATATTTTTTGTATAAAAAGTAGGAATTTCAAACTGCGAATAGGTGCAGAGAGCCAAAATTTGGGTACAAAATATGGCTCAGGTATCGAATTTGGGATGTTTGGGATATTTTGAAATCTGCAGGGGAGTTTGGGCAAAATGTGACCCACCGCTGCTTTCAGTAATTAGCATATTTTTGGTATAAAAACTCAGAATTTCACACTGCGAATAGGTGCAGAGATCCAGAATTTGGGTCCAAAATATGGCTCAGGTATCGAATTTGGGATGTTATCTTGAGGTTATCTTGAGATGATTTCGGGGCTTTAGTGTCCCCGCGGCCCGGTCCTCGACCAGGCCTCCACCCCCAGGAAGCAGCCCGTGACAGCTGACTAACTCCCAGGTACCTATTTACTGCTAGGTAACAGGGGCATTCAGGGTGAAAGAAACTTTGCCCATTTGTTTCTGCCTCGTGCGGGAATCGAACCCGCCCCACAGAATTACGAGTCCTGCGCGCTATCCACCAGGCTACGAGGCCCCCTCATTTAATCTCATACTAATTCTCCCTCTACTTTCAGCCAACCTAGTTTTGCATATTATGTTGATAAAACAATATTATTACATATGCTTTATTTTATTTTTTATATAAAATTCTTAGATACTGTACTGGAATGAATTAAATTTTCCTCCACAATTATAATACCGTTCTTAGTGGATGGGTAAGTCACAAGGTATTTCAAGATTTATGCCCATGAAAACCAGATGCGTATATAATTCAAATAAAAAGATTGGAAACCTTATTCTTGGTATAAAGGTCCACAATCAACATTTCCCATCTCCACATATATTGTGCGTGTCTGAGTGAAGTTATCTACTGCAGTATGACCATTTTCTCGACCAATTCCACTATGTTTGTAGCCACCAAAAGGAATTTCTGTTGGGTATAAATTGTAAGTGTTGATCCACACAGTTCCAGCTTCAATAGCATTAGCCACTCTATGACCACGGTGGATATCTTTTGTAAACACTCCTCCTGCTAGGCCAAAGTCCGTGTCATTGGCTCGCTTAACAGCTTCTTCCTCCGAATCAAACTCCAGTACTGATGCAACTGAACCAAATACCTCTTCCTTCACAACCTTCATTTGATCTTTACAGTTGACCAACACAGCTGGTGATAGGTACCACCCACCGCGTAGCTTCCCGGGTTGTATCACACGTTCTCCTCCACACAGTACTCTTGCACCTTCTTCCTTGGCAGATGCAATAAAATCAAGAACCTTTTTGGCATGCTCTTCATGAATAGTTGCTCCTACAGTAGTATCTTCACCAAATGGATCTCCAAGCTTGAGTCTTTTAGTTGCATCCACCAATTTCTTGATAAACTCACTGGCAATACTGCTCTGAACAAACACCCTAGTTCCATTAGAACACACCTGACCCTGAGAGAGAAAGTTTGCCATCAATGTGGCTTTGACAGCATTCTTCATGTCAGCATCCTCAAATATTATGAGTGGAGATTTGCCCCCAAGCTCCAGTGTCACTGACTTTACACCTTTAGAGCCAGCTGCC